TCCTCACGGGTGACAACGCATCTGCATTTTGAGGATAGATGTAGATGTCTATGGGCCGCAGCAACCACTTACCATCAGGTGCACTGTGTGCTCGTTTGTCACCCTTATCCTATAAAAAAATCTTTGAAGTACTAGATAGTGGATTCTCTTACGTCGTCGCTACATGGTAGCTTTTGTAATCGATTATCAAGATCTTGCCTTCACTTCAAGATTACGAAATATTTTCATCCAAACAAATATAGCTTTCTCGGTAGTTTTATTTTCCGCTAATCAGCATTTATAATTGGGATTCAAATGGGATCCAACTCACTTATGTACCGTGTGACTATTAAGACTTAGTATTCATACCTCACTAACTATTAGTTTTTAAAATATGTGATACGAATATTAGCAATGTATTATATGTATTATCATCATCACTTGATTTCGTAAACAATTCACTTGATGGCTTGAATGATAGTAACCGTAGTACCGGTTATAAACTGGTTTGAGCCCACTCAGTGAGCGGACAAAGTTTAGGTGTGCCACTGGCAGCAACACGACGACACGGACGTTTAATTTTGTTTATAACATAATAATACCATTCGTCAACCATTTCGTCTTTCAAAGCCTATACACTTTTTTAATGTTCCGTACCTAAATTGGAAAACGGAAAACGTATGAGTTCACCTCAGTCACAGTGTCTGTCTATCCATCCGTCCATGCTCATAGCTGAATCCCGACTCGCACTTGCCCGGTTTTTAGTTTTCAACAACCGAGTGACAGCCCTATGAAAGTAGGTAAGAATTTTTAACTCTTATACGAAGCTTTCATTCTGTTCTGCTCAGTTTTACGAGTATATTCTTGTGCTGCTACTCAGTGCCGGATTAACCACGTAGCAAGAGTAGCAATTGCTACAGGCCCCGCGCAAAAGGGGGCCCCGCGTATCCAAACTCGCCCATCACTGCATAAGCGTAATTTTTTCAGTGAAACTTAATAAGACGTCGTATATTGAATTTACTTAATGTCACAAAAACGTGAAACGTTACATCTTTCTCGACTAAGACAATCCATCGCAGACAATCAGTAACCGATTATTTCATTGGCGAAAATAAAACACAAAATTTCATACGGTTAACGTACAAGTTTCAACGTCCACCACGATGAATGGCTCGGTACTAATCATGCGGGAAGATCTGCTTACGATTTTGCCTTGACATAAGATCTGACACAACTGGTCACTTCGCCCACGCGGATACAAGATGTGGAGGATCATCAGGACGGATATCGGTTCTCCATCGATGCCCCACTTGGCTCTTCGGATCACTGCCTGATCCGGAGTACAGCGCTCATCACTTGCTCATTGTAGGCATGATCTGTAGGCTGCCGCCATCTGTGGTTTATCTCAGCGAATTGGGATTTGATGCGGGCTTTTTTTGCATCCTACCCATGAGGGCGGATTTGCTTATCGCTGGATGATCCAATAAAAATCTTTGTTGAGTCTGTCGCCCATGTAGTGCTTGAGTGGGTGGATTTTTTCATCCCGTTATCTGTAGTACCTATCGGCGGCAGATTCTTTCTTAGTCCAGACCCAGCCTTGGTTTGGACACTCCTGCAAAATTTTCGTCGCGGAAATAGCAAAAGAAGAGTGTTACAAGGCCTGGAATGAAGCATCAGAGTCCTGAGATTCAAGCACTAGTGCACACAAAAAAAAAGTACAAATCTGCCTTTAGGTCCTTCAAAAGAGTTATCACTAGGGCAAAGTCGGAGCACATTGGGAGAATTGGCGAGAATTTAGTTCGCCTTCCTGCGGGAACTCGTGCGTTCTGATCCCAGAATTTTCGTAAGCCATCATTACCATCTTTGAGTAGAGAGGATGAATCGCTGGCCCAAGCCGCAAAGAAGAAAGCAAATATTTTATGGAGGCCATACATGATCCAGCTTACCGTCAAATTTGCAGCGCGCTTGAAGCGGCGTCCAATAAATTTGACGGTGTATGGCTATCAGTGTGCATGATGAGTCTACTTGAAGTAAAAATTTAATTTCTATTCTGCCGACTTGATCAAGCTTGGAGCGTCATGCAAACTTGAACGTATGTATGAGCGGTCAAGTATGCATGACGGTAGTCGGAGCAAATAAGCGAGAGACGCCATGGTTTCAACTGATGCGGCATCATGCAAACTTGACGGCGAACTTGAACGTGAGTGGTATATATGGATGCACTGCAAACTAGACGCGGCTTGAAGCGTGGTGCAAACTTGATGATAAACCGGATCATGTATGGCATCCATAAGGTTCTCTTTTGCATCCAACTCGACTCTCGTCGACGGGGGGAATATACTAATAACATCCGTGTGAGTGCTCCATCCAATGTGCTGTTTACACAGCTCCTTGGACACTGTCCTTGGATGTCAACAAGTCGAGTGGGCCTGATGGAATCTCCCAAATTGTGTTGAAAACGTGTGTTCAAGAGTTGGCACTGATTTTTACACATATTTTCTAGTTCTTTTACACTTTAGGTGTTGTTTCAGGCTCATAGAAGACAGTCTTAGTGCACCCGATCCCCAAAAAGGTGACCACTCGAAGCCGTCCAACTACAAGCCTTTGGCTATATTCTTTAAAAAAATTCCGTCACCTCCTTATTCTCTAAAATAATGGAATCTATTATTAACTGCCAGAGCAGAGATGCATCTGTATGAACTGGCAGCATGCAAGATCATTAGCTGATTAGTGATCGTCAATACGGTTCCCGTCGAGGTCGTTCAGCTAATGGTCTTCTTGTCTGCCTGACTTACTGATGAGCGGAGGCATCCGAGATCAAGGGGGAGGCCCAGGCAGTTAGTTTGGACATAGCGGAGGCTTTCGATGGGGTTTGGCACAGAGCGCTTCTTTCGAAGCTTCCCTCTTATGGACTTCCCAAGAAATTATGCAATTGGGTCACTAGTTTTCTTGCAGATCGGTCTATAAAGGTAGTCAATGGTGCATGCTCCGACTACAAACCTGTGAATGCTGGTTTAACCTACCCTATTCCTTCTGCATATCAATGGTATGTTGCATACTAGTAACATTTATTGTTATGCAGACGGCAGCACTGGCGATACTTTATACACCACGGCGGTGCTAATATTTCTCGGGAATATGTCATCGACTGCGGGAACAAACTCGTGTCTGAAGTCGATTCTTTGTTGAACAAAGTATCGGATTGGGGGCGACTAAAGCTTGCTACATATTTATTTATTTATGGGGGCGACTAAATCTATTCCAGTTTAACCCCCAATAAACACAGGTTTGCGCGTTTACCGCAAAGAAGAACCCCTTTGTTGTATCTCCTCAATTTCAGGGCACACTCCTCGTTGTCTCAGCCAGCATCTGAATCCTTGGCGTTGACATTTCGAGAAACATACAATTTCGCATTTACTTGGAAGGTGTAGCTGGTGGAAGGAAAAGGGGAGATCTCCCGCTGGGCAAGGTGTTCTGCCCGGGGAGCAGCTAACGCTCCGAATGGTAGTTCGGAGCTATTCTATATATGCTGCTTTAACTTCGGAACTTTGTTAGTGCGATTTAGGCTTCGATGTGTTTCGCTTGTGGCGCGACGACAGCGCCGCCACAAAGGGAAGGCTAAACTGACATCAAAAAAGCTTGGTGTGTTCAGAAGATCAAGACGGTATTTCATGCCGGACAACCGCTTGCAGCTTTATCAAGAGCAGGTTCGGCCTCATATGGAATATTCTTCTCGTCTCTGGGCCGGAACACCTCAGTCAGACAGTCAGTCAGACACATCGACGATTAAGTTATTTTCAATCGGCTTGATCCACTGACCTTGCGAAAAGACGTTGCATCTCTATGCATCTTCTACCGAATATACCACGGGGATTGCTCAGAGGAATTATTCGTATTAATTCCAGCTGCTGAATTCCATCATCGTTCACTGTGATAGAACTCGAAATTCCATCCTCATCATCTTGATGGCTGGCGGTCCACTACTATGCAATTTATGCGGAATTTTCTGCTTCGCACGACCAAACTGTAGAATTCACTGTCGCCATCCGTTTTTCCGAACCGATACGACAAACTTATATCCATAAAGGAAATGAACATACATTATATTTATTTAAAACAACATGCGAGGAGGTTATCAAATTAATAACATCAAGCAAGCAATGCATCGAATGCATGAAATACACATTCTGTGAAAATTTCAACTGTCTACCTATTACGGATCATGAGATACAGCCCGCTGACAGACATACCCTTTGGGTACGGAACTCAAAAAAAAAATTACAATGAATTGTGTGGTATCGTCACTTTTAAATTGTCAGGACAGTCTCATTTCTGACATTTTGTATTTGTCAGATTCTAACAGGGCCTGTACCTGTAGTAATATACTGTACTATGAAACACCAACAAAATTGTAGCCTAGAGATGGCAAATAAAGGCATTAATTATTGAATTAATTTTTGACATTGTATTAATAGCAGCATAGCAGAACAAGGGCCCCTCGATAGAATTTGCTACGGGCCCCGCGCTTGCTTAACCCGGCACTGCTGCTACTTAGCTAAATAAGAAGATACGAGTTACTTTTATCTTTGTTATAGTATAAAGAGACCAAAGATGACCATGACCACTTGTCTTTAAAGCTCTTCGCAATTACATTCAACATCTTTCAATAGTGTTTCCCTTTTTGCTTTATTAGAAACTTAAATTGGAAAAAGTGAGACAAGTATATTGACTCAATTTATATACTTTTTTATAGTTATTGTAAGTTCCCTATATGCAGACATTACAGAGTATTATGTATATAATCACTCTAAGTACAAAAGTGACATTTATTTTTTTGTACTTGCAGCCCAGAACAAAGCAGCTACGCAGCCATTTTGTAGTGTCCTAATAACATTGAAAGTTATTCATCAATTTTTGTCTATTTTACATGGGAGTATTACTTTTTGTTTTGGTTTGAAAGTTAATTGGTAATGATTATTTTTGTTTAAAGTTCGTAAAATAATTGTTTTACATACATTAAAATGGAGCAAGACGTAGATAATACTTTTAATAAAATATGTAGTACTTGCCTCAGTTCAGATCGTGATTTAGTATTAATAATCGGGGAATCAAATATTTATCAAACATTTCGTTTACTGATGTATGATTTCGCGGGTGACAGAGTAAGTATCTAAAACTTTTTTAGTTTTAAAATATTTCATTAAAAGTACAGTAAGTACACTTGTTACATAAATGTTACTACGTATTTAATAGTATGCATAGCTTTTCGCGTAGGTCAACGCACTTCATAATATTTTAAAGTGGTATCTTTTTTATCTTTCCTAAGTTTAATTTAAATTATAATATTGTCGGAGACCTGTTGTCATCATGTGTCAATAGAAACTGAAATCGTAGACGGTTCGGTCATTTGACCTGGGTCGCATTATAAAGTATTGGTCATTAATTTAATTTATTATAACAAGCATAAAATTTAAATAATCAGGTTCAATCAATCATAAACAATTTATTTTAAAGGCCGGCAACGTATCTGCAATTCCCCTGGTGTTGCGGTTGTTCATGGGCGGCGGTAGTCACTTACCATCAGGTGAGCCGCATGCTCGTTTGCCCCCTCTCCTATAAAAAAAAAAAAAAAATTTTTCTAAGCTTTACATTTGCTATATATTGAATGTTAAATGTTACTTAAAATATTAATCCTAACAGTTCTATTGTTCAGGGCACTATGATTTTCTCTTCAAAGTATAAAACAATGTCGCATCCCACCTGCAATGGATTTTGATGCGATTTTATCAGACAGATCGATTCAAGAGGAAGGTTTATATGTATAATACATGCATATTATAGAAAGCTAAGCCTATAATTCTTCCGTCCGTGTGTATGACTGAACAGCGGTTTAAGGCAGGACCGATTTTGAAGAAAATTTGTGTGTGATTAAGTTGATTAGAGAATGGTTTAGATTTACAATTGGACCCGGCAGCTGGCTGGTTGCCAAAAAGCTTTGGAATGAGGTTGCTTATCATATGGTACGAATTTGATGGATGGGCGCTAGGCAAGAAAAAGTCTACGATTTTTCCGTCACATTCCCTTCTGACGCAGTGTAGACAGCCTTGGCGGCTATAAGGAAGCGAGATGGAATAATGTCCGTCTCCCTCCCACTTTTTCTTATCTTGCCATAAAAGAAATATTATTTTATTTTAAATGACACTTCATTTTAATAGATGCTAGTAATTCATTTATTTGTATTTGTTTATCAATAATATAATATGTTTATCGATAATAATATACTACGAAAGGAACTTTGTTCTAACCAAGTGTTCCACAACACTCACACATGGATTTTCCTTCCAACTTGCCAAAGGTGTAAAGTATTGCTACTAAATTTGTTTCAGCTTGTAAAGATTTCTACAAATCTAGACTTATCTAGATATCTCAATTTAGGCCTCACTATTTTTGCCTTTAATTTTTTTAATATCATATTTTTTCAGTACTTTAACATTCAAATAGAGACGGATATACAATGGCCGGTATCTGCATATCGTAATACTATAATCTATTTTCAGCTTGGAGATCTATTATCAGAAGAAACACTACAAGTTTGTTGGGAATGCCTTGCTCTATTAAGAAAGATCCATAAATTTAAGAAGCAAGTTCACATAGCTCAGGGGCACCTCCGTGTACTTGGCCTGAGTGGAAACCATGAGGTATGATTATCACTATCACTCACACTCACTATTTTGATGACTATCCAATCCACTGTTGGGCAGAGGCCTCTTATTTATCTGTGGTAGAGCCTTGCTGCAGCTATATTATGGTTGTAGCACGAATGGGTCAGCTGGACCGGGAAAGGACCATGCTCTCACAGAATACCAGCTTAAAATAGCAGCTTAACACTGCTGTGTTTCATATGATGAGTGTAGAGAACCAGAGACCCTTTTTAATGGAAATGAGGCATTCCATCTTAGTCATCAGGGGTGACAATGCATCTCCACCAATACCATCAGGTGGCACAGTCCACTAGTTTATCACCCTTATTATATAAAAAAAATTTGAAAGTGTTATGATACAATTAATCTGCTGCGCTCTTTCAGTGCATGTTGGCGGACTTCACATTTACTGCAAATAGTTTCTTTTTCAGACAAATAGACATACATACATTCCTACACCAGAAAGCATGTTCATTTTGTTTTTATATATAAGAGGGAACAAACGAGCATGTGGTAAATCAGCACTTATCAATTTTATTGGTGTCAGAATCATACTCTGTTTACTCTCATACTGTAAAATTTATAATAAACCTTTAGCCGTAGGTATCACATTTATGGTAAAAGTTACAAGTGACACCAGGTGAATTGCAGATGCATTGTTGGCCTTTTAAAAAGGATTAAGTTGGTGGCAACTGTAACAAATATCTCCCCTATTTGGTAATAGAATAGAATGATTTTTGTTCAATACTAGCTGATACCCACGACTTTGTCCGCATTGCTTGACATATTAACAAAGTTTTTGTATGTGCAAAGGAAAAAACATCAAAATTATCGCGTCAAGCAAAAATATATGTACTTTGCTTACAAAATTTCTTTGTAAACAATGTTATTCATTGCTCCATTTGTAGATAAAATATATAAATTATCTGGGTTAGTAACGCGAGAGCAAGCGATGTATAGTTGACCGTGTGAAAAACTTCGTATAAAAATTAATGTTTCTTAAATTTTTATACTTTATATTAAATGAAAATATTGCAATAATTTTTTTTAGATAAGGGCCAAGTGTTAAAAAAATAAAACTAAAAATACTAATTAAAATCTATCCATTAGTTTTTCCATGATGCGTGCACAAGTGCATACCTCTATAATTTTATTTAAATAGATAGATTATTACATTTGAAAGTAATTTTTTTTACCACTGTTAATTTTAGTAAAGTAGTAGTAAATTTTACCACTGGTTCGGAAAATACCTCTGTCCTGCGAAGAACCAGCAAGAAACTCGGCAAGATTTATTTTCATTAAACATATTTCATTTTACAATAATTTTGTACAGTTTTTAAATGAATTTTAATAGAACGATTATTTTCATTTATGTATTCTTTGATATTATAATAACTCTTTTAGTAATATTTTTAAATTAAACATTTAAACTTGTTTATTGACAAATTTTGTACATTTTCTGGGATTTTGTTGTAAAAGCATATATGTACATTGCTCCAGAAATTAATTACTAATTCTATGGAGTGTAGTAACTAGTGTTACAAGCTCATGTTTGTGAACATATTTATTATTATCAAAGCTTTTTATTTACATACATTTTCATAAAAATATATTGGGACGCCAAAGATTATTATTGTGTTATGTTTATTTCTTTAAATTTTACTCTGAGGGACTCTTAACAATTAAGTTATAAATCGCCCGTACGGCCCTCTTTTGCAAAACAAATATGGCTTCAATGTCATTTGTACTCCATAGCAAAATGCCATAAGATATTACATTATGAAAATAACTAAAATAAACTAATCTAGCTGTGTCAAGATTGGTGAGACTTTTAATCTTTCTTACTATATGAGACCCCCATTGTAACTTCACGTCAATAGTAATACCAAGAAAAACAGTGGTATCCAAAAACTCCTCCCCATTTAAGAGCATATTAGAACTCTTATGTTTAACATTAGGTATTGTAAATTTAATAACATTTTGTCTAGTACAATGTATTAATTTCGATAGAGCATTATTTACATCGTTATAATTAATTGACTGCCGTTCGCATTTGAAAATTAAAGAGGTATCTTCAGCAAGTATAAAATATCCTGATTTTCCCCTACAAGATAAGGTAAGTCATTAATATTGATTAAGAACAGGAGTGGGCCAAGAATCGACCCCTGAGGAATGCCCGTTGGTACTACAGATCCAGAGGAACCTTTACCATTGATAACGACTTTTTAAGCTCCGTTATTTAAATATGAAATAATAAGTCTAAGCGCAATATTTTTGACACCGTAATGTTGTATTTTCCTGGTTAATATCTCATGATGAACACAATCGACAGCCTTGGAAAGATCACAACACAGATTACATTATTACTTTTGATATATGCTGTATAAATGATGATGAATTTCTCTAGAGACACAATCTTTGTAGGAGTTTTCTTAATAAACTTTTGCTATGTCTAAATGTCCACCACACAGATTAGATTTTATCTCCGTATATGCCTGTTTTCAGACTACAGATCACACGTACTTGTCTCAGTCCCTATCAACTCTGGAGTCCACAATAAAGACTGGCTACGACAAGATTTATTTAGACTGCAGTAACGAAATTCAGACGGTATGGCCACCAGAAATCATCACAATTAGATCTGTCAAAGATGAGCAGTATGATATAGCTCAGGTTGTGCGAGAAAACATTAGTCTAGACATTGAGGATCAGATTTTAGGAAGTGAGTATTAAAATTAGTTATATATATTTAACAGTGGTAGAGCCACGCGGCAGCTTTTGCTGTCGCACGGATGGGCCGGCTCGAACCGAGGTGGTACCACGGCCTCACAGAAAACCAGCGTGAAGTAGAGGTTTACCTCTGCGTTTCGCTTGGTGAGTGCAGGTGGCCGGAGGCCCTTTTTACTGGAAATGAGGCATTCCATCTTAGTCCTCACGGGTGACAACGCATCTACATTTTGATTTGTAACAGAGGATAGATGTAGATGTCTATGGGCCGCAGCAACCACTTACCATCAGGTGGACTGTGTGCTCGTTTGTCACCCTTATCTTATAAAAAAAAAATAACATAACGAACTACTAAAAATAAGAGGCGATACGACACCGTAATTCAAAGACGGCGTGTTTAAAAGATGTGAATCAAAATATTTACAATAAAAAAAAAAATACTTACTGACAGCCTAAACACTCATGCAACGTTGTGTTTTTAATACACTTTCAAAATGTCCACCACCTTGTTCCATATATTTTAAAGCCCGTTTTCTTAACTGGTATTTTAATTTAGAAAGCACTTCAGTGTCATTTTTCACTATTCCAAAAGCGTTCACTATCCTATTTTTTAGGTCCTCGGCACTTGTTGTCTCACTAAAATAAACTAATGATTTAATACATCCCCACAAAAAAAGTCAAGAGGCGTCAAATCAGCTGATCTGGGAGGTCACTGGACAGGGCCGCCGCGACTGATTCAGCGCTTTCCAAACTGTATTTGTAAAGACTTTAAAGTGCTTGAAATAAGGTTCATTTTTCTTTATTTTGTATTGAATGACGGAATTTGTATTAATACAAATAAAATTGCACCTTTAAAAGTCTTATTGCCTTGAGTTACGGTCATTTTCAGTTTGTTTTGACTGTACAGGTTCAGTGTGACTGTAATTTAGGTAGTTTTAATTATTTTTGGGATAAAAAATTACCTATGTTAAAAATGATAGAAATCGAATCAATAAACGATTCTGAACAAACTACTTTCAGGATGGGCTTTAATTATGTTACATGTTTATATACATGGAATAAAAACAAAAGATTGCAAGTATTTTGTATTTTTTTTTTAACTTATTACGAGGGCGGCACTGAAAATTTCGGGAATCAAGGAAGTGACACAACATTACTATTTAAAAATGTATTTATTGCTTTTCGAAGTATTCTCCGCGAAATTTGACACATTTTTCCATACGATGGAACCAATCATTGAAGCAACCATTCCATTCGGAAGTTGGGGGTCTCCAAAATGGCCGTTTTGTAGGCGTCCACAGCTTCTTCAGGTGATGAAAATCTCTGTCCACGCAATTTATTCTTTATTTTAGGGAAAGTATAGAAATTATTAGGGCTTAGATCGGGGCTGTACGGCGGATGGTCTAATAATTCTATGTTTTCTTGCTCTAAAAACTCTTTTGTTCTGTGTGCGGTGTGAGAACTCGCATTGTCGTGATGGAGGATGATGCGGCGGTTGCAGTTCTCTTTACGGAGTTCAGAAACGACCTGTTGCAAACAAATGCTAGCATACCATTCTGCATTAACCGTTCTTTGTCCCTCGAATGCGGTATCCATCGGGAAAACAACTTTTTTACACCTAATTGTTCATGCAAGATTATTTGTATTTGACTCATGCCAATGTCTAAAGTTGCCTGAATTTCGTGGTATGTCACATGTCGATCTTCCTCAATCAGCTTACGCACAGCATCAACGTTTTCTTGGGTGACTGCAGTTTTTGGACGACCTTGACGGGGATCATCACTGAGCTTAACACGTCCACGTTGAAATTCAGCAAACCAGCGATAAATTGTGGTTTTGGATGGGGCTTCATCACCAAATGCAGAAATCATCCGGTCAACACACTGTTTTTGTGTTAAACCACTTCGAAAGTCATAATAAATCATCGCTCTTGAATTTTCTCGAGTCAATTCCATTTTCTCAACGACTAAACAAGTTTGACAAAACCTTGTGACAAGACCGAGAATCTTTTTATAAATAAATAAATGGTATTCGATTTTTAAAACCAAGGAGTTTTCAATTAAAAAGATTTTAATATGACAGGAACAGTGGAAATATTCCACTCCCGATACTTTTAGTGCAGCCTATGTATAAGCCAGGGCTTGACTACAATCCTGCCTGGCGGTAAGGGGTGATGAAACCGTACTGCTTTTGCGTAACAAAAGCCTATTCACTTTTGGCTTGAAGACGCTGATATTGTAATCGGAAGGAGACAAACGCCGGCAGACTATCCCACTACTTTATTGTACGCATTACGAAAGACAAAGCAAGTTGTTTGGTTGGGTTGCGTGGAATATCGACAACGAAGGGGAAGACTTACAGACGATCTGGAATGTCCAATAGTATACCATGCACCAAAGGGAGGGAAAAATTAAGGCTAATTATGTGTTTCCTGCGCACACTCCGAAATGTATCTTATAGAATACCGATAGGTTAGCTACTCTGCTGGTGCCTGTGTTCGATGCTGACAAAATTGGTTTCAACCAAATCTGGTTTTGAGTGTCGTTGCGTCGTCGACGTGCTGAGTCAAAACTATTATTGTATAGATACAGACATAGATCTTTGGCAAGGCGCAGACGAAATGTAAGTGGTTGCTGTGGCCCATAGACATCTACATTTATCCTCGATTACGAATCAAAATGCAGATGCGTTGTCACCCGTGAGGACTAAGATGGAATGCCTCTATTCCAGTAAAAAGGGTCGCCGGTTCTCTAAAGTCACTATACGAAACACAGCAGCGTTAAGCTGCTATTTTACGCTGATATTCTGTGAGAGCGTGGTCCTTCCCCGGTCGAGCCGACCCATTCGTGCTACTACTATACCAGAAATATAGCTGCAGCATGGCTCTACCACGTAAAAATCTTTCCTACAACAGCAGAGATTCCATGTCCAGCAGTGGTCTGATGTCCATTCATAGGTCGCTGGTTCAAATCCGGCTCGAAGGACCATTAAGAGTGTATCGTTTAGTTATGATTCCTTAAACTGAATTAGTTATTGAGTTCAAAAGGAAGAATCGTACAAAAAAATTGTATTAATGAGTAGATTAATTTAGATGTGGTTCTCTCCCTTGATGGTAATCTGATCATTTGTTAGTTCGTATCGTTGACCTTTTGAGCGCCACGCCAAAAACGCATTACCGTGTCCTGTACGCCAAAGCGAAAATTCAAAATACGAAAAAAATAGTGTTGCAAAGAGTTGATATATCGATAACCCAAAATAACTAGTTTTTGTTGGTTTTTTATGCAATAAATGACTGGTATGTTTTATTTAATCTTGTGCTATCTTGCACTCTTTTTATATATGTACTTTGTATATAAATAAAAAACAAACAATAACAATAAAATAGTAGTAAACAGTTATTCTTTTTTGAGGAATATAGAATTAAAATACCAGTAATAAATTTCCAATAACTATATTTCATATTTTTGTGGGCCGGGTTTTTGTCAACTATACACGTCGTTGGCGCTCAGGGCCCGCAGGTGCTAGTCAAGTATAGTCGACTTTGGTGCTCAAAAGGTTAAAATTAAGTTCAACGCATGTGGCCTAATTAGAACTCTTCTAACCACAAGTGGTAAAATTAAATATTTTGTACAACCGACTTCAATATAAATAAAATGGGAACATCATCAATGTAGTCGAAATCAATTAAATACGCATTATTAACTCAAAACCTACTGGTCAGATCTTGATCAAATTTATATGGGACCACATAAGAAGCATCAGCTTTCAAATAAAAAGAAGAATCATAAAAGTTTTGAGATAACACATTAAAAATCAATCGAATTGAAAACCTCCTGCTATTTTTGAAGTCGGTTGAAAATTGTACAATTGTTAGACCGCACATTTACCGGGCGATAAAGAAAAAAAGAACTTAGCGTTTGCATATATAGATACATTTATTTGAACTACAGACTCTCATCTCACTCAACCCTTTTTTTTTATATGGTAGGGTGACAAACGAGCACACAGTCCGCCGCGATGGTAAGTGGTTGCTGTGACCCATAGACATCCACATCTATCCTCAATAAAGGATCAAAATGCAGATGCATTGTCACCCGTGAGGACTAAGATAGAATGCCTATATTCCAGTAAAAAGGGTCGCCGGTTCTCTAAACTAACTATACGAAACACAGCAGCGTTAAGCTGCTATTTTACGCTGGTATTCTGTGAGAGCGTGGTCCTTCCCCGGTCGAGCCGACCCATTCGCGCTACAATTATACTACTAATATAGCTGCAACATGGCTCTACCATGTATAAAAATTGATTGATTGAAATTATTTCTCTTCTCTCCTATCTTTAGATGATCTTTCTTTCTTTCTTTCATTGTTCTGCTGGACAAAAAATCTACTACTGGACACGGGCCCTTTGTTGTAGGGAGGAATTCCCTTAATCATCAGATGAGTGTTACGTTTGCGCTAGAGTCCACAATCAGTTAAGATGTGCACAGGTGTTTCTTCTGTTAAGAAATAGAATCGGTACATCCTTAAGTTGCTTAGTCTCATGATGGACATGTGCTTCTGATCGTCAAGCGGGTGGATGCAGCAGGCTATCGCCGTTCAAACGCTTGGCGTCAACGGGATGGTGATACCACCATTTATCCGAAGTCAGAGTTTTTACACATTCACATACCCGCCTCCTAAAACAACAACGGGAATTGTGCAGGGCAGGTATGGGTGAGGAGGAAACGGCGGCCCACGTGTTGCTGGCATTTTCGGAGGACGCTACAACAGAGCTAAACATCTCGGCACGCCGAAATCACTTCTCCGAAGTTGCTCGCAACATCAAATAACTGTTGTTGTTTCGGGAGATTTCGTGGACTTGAATAATCACAATATTCCTGCCCACGCGCAAAATACGCGCTTAAACGTGGAGTTGCGGAAAACATTCCGTCGTAAACTAAACTAAAACAACCACGGGCCAAAATGGGGTCGTGGATTCTCTTACTCAATATTATTTATACAAATAAATAAAATTGAAGTGTCTGTTTGTAATGTCAAAATAAGAACTTTTTACTAAATGCATATGAAAGTATATACGGTACTTATAACAAAAATATTTTTTTTTTAATTTTTGTCTGTCTGGCTGTTTATTCCGGCTAATCTCAGAAACGGCTGGACCGATTTAGACAGGACTTTCACTGGCAGATAGCTGATGTTATAAGGAGTAACTTAGGCTACTTATATTTTAGAAAAAGAGTTAGGGTTCCGCGCCACACTAAACCCTAAACTACACACGGGCGAAGTCGCGAGGGACTGCTAGTCTGTTATATTTGTTTCTTAGTTATTTATATGCCGTCATTATTTGTTATTTATAATTTCTAGCTATGGTTCTTCAGAATCCGAACGCTATGATGACTCCTCACATTGTGATCAATGCAGAACCTTTGAAAGATCAGGAGCAGTATACAGAATCTGATAAGACTGTGCTACCTGAACTCACTATCAGGTATAGATACAATTTTACTTATAAAAAATTATTCATATAACTCTATAGCCCTTCTTACCAGAGAAAAGAAGACGAAAGAAACTTTCCGTATCTGTGTAACATTCTTTGTGTATATTTTGTATTCAAAAGTCCACTGCCTTAATTGTCACCCTCGGTAGGCAGATTGCCAGTCAATGGCTCAAGATCATATTTTGTCGCATTCCTTGGGAGGGGCCTATGTGCAGCAGTGGAGTTGATAAATAAGATAGTGATACACCTATTGAAAGCCATAATATTATTCAGGCATTTCTTATAGGCGCCTTTTACGAAATCCGCAGGATAAAATGAGGTCATGGATACCCTTACGCCACCGCGCAATACCATTCATCCATACAGTACAGCCTACAGAAGTCCACTGGTGAACTTGGGCCTCCGCCATAGATTCACTCACTAAAACTGCGGAATAATATAGGTCAGTGGATTATCTTACACCACCACTACACGACGATACCTTGCATTTATGTTCCAAATTTCGCCATTGTGGTTTACACTTTTGAATGCCAAGCGCATTTTTTTTTATATAGGATAAGGGTGACAAGCGAGCACACAGCCCACCTGATGTTAAGTGGTTGCTGTGGCCCATAGACATCTACATTTATTCTCGAGTACAAATCGAAATGCAGATGCATTGTCACGCTCGAGATGCAATGCATCGTTTCCAGTAAAAAGGGTCTCCGGTTCTCACACTCATCATATGCAACACAGCAGCGTTAAGCTGCTATTTTAATCTGGTTTTCTGTGAGAGCGTGGTCCTTACCCGGTCGAACCGAACCATTCGTGCTACAACTACACCAGTAATATAGCTGCAGCATAACTCTACCACGTAAAAAAACTTACATATGCATATTTTCAAGTACCGGACCGCTGCCTGAAGATAAAACAGATGTGTTAATAATACCAAGTCATAGACCTAAGGATGCTGTGGACACATATATAACTGAGTACATGAACGAGGAGGACATGTTAGCTTTTAGGTGAGTTTTAATAAGTCTCTTTTATAGCATCTTAGTGATGAACACACAATAAAGATGTCCACAGTAGAACCAGAGTAACCGATGTTACCCAAGAGATCAGTAAGTTGAAGTAGTAGTAGTTAGAAAATTAGGAAAATATAAAAGTGCACACCTCGAATGGGACAGTTTACGATTATGAAATTTAAAAGACTTCCTAAGGATTGAAATATAAAGCTAACAAAAAAAATCAAAGTGATAAGTTCAGTTTATCGAAAGATATCTTGTTCACATCCATACCGACCAACATACGTCCAAGTGAAATTATATTCAATTAACTTTTTTTGATTAATAATCTATATAAATAATCTCAGAACTACGTCAGAAGTATTAATTGGAATCTCGTCTAGCTATTGCTGTACTTTTTTGAAATTATATAAGTGCAATATAAAGCTGGTGAAATTGATTTAAACTGAGTGAATCGCGGTTTTCATTTAATGACAGTAGAGCACTACATCTCCGCTTCGCGTTCGATCTGTGTAATAATTATTTACTCAGCTTTTGTATGAATATTTTAGAATACTACAACATTGTATGTAATACTCACTTTTATACTTATTCACATAGGATCAGAAGGATACTAAAGAGGTTTCTTTTGCATCTATCTTACGACCATAACCTAGTTAAAACTCTTAGCATTTAGAAGATAAGTATCTTACAGTCAAAACTCATAAACGGGCATAAATAATCGGGCAAAAGTTTTTTTTTATATAGGATAGAGTGACATTTTTGACTATGGATGTTAGTTAATAGCACTTTTTACTGATTTTTTGCAGTCAAAAGCTGCAGTCCCTTCAGCGGTGCCAAGTTGACTGTCGGTATATCGAAGTGCTGAAGTGTTTGTACAGTGGAGCTACGATGGCTATCCGAGTACAGAATCAGAGTACGAAACCTATCCAACTGCAGAGAGGTGTAAGACAGGGTGACGTTATATCCCCGAAACGCTTCACCGCTGCATTGGAAGACGTTTTCAAGCTTCTGGACTGGAAAGGATGCGGTATTAACATCAATGGCGAGTACACCACTCACCTTCGATTTGCCGACGATATAGTCCTTATGGCAGAATCGCTGGAGGACCTAAGCATTATGCTCAATGACCTCAATAGTGTCGCCCAACGGATAGGTCTTAAGATGAACATGGACAAAACAAAAATCATGTTTAACGTCCATGTCACACCTATGCCGGTAGTTGTTGGGAGCACTAAGCTCGAAGTTGTTGACGAGTATGTTTACCTGGGACAAATAGTCCGACTAGGTAAGTCCAACTTCGACCGAGAGGTCAATCGACGGATTCAACTCGGCTGGGCATCGTTCGGGAAACAACGACACATCTTCTCGTCAGACATACCTCAAAACCTGAAAAAAACGAAATTGTACAACCAGTGCGTGTTGCCAGTGGTGACTTACGGATCTGAGACGTGGTCCTTCATGGCTGGCCGTATGAGGAAGCTCAAGGTCGCTCAGCGAGCTATGGAGAGGGCTATGCTCGGGGTGTCTCTGCGTGATTAACTTAGAAATGAGGATATCTGCAGTAGAACCAGAATAACCGACATAGCCCAACGGATTAGTAAGCTGAAGTGGCAGTGGGCCGGCCATATAGCTCGAAGAACCGACAACCGATGGGGAAGAAAGGTTCTTGAGTGGCAGCCTCGTACCGGTAGGCGAAGTGTAGGGCGACCCCCCACGAGATGGAGTGACGACCTGGTAAGACATGCAGGAAGTCGATGGATGCAGGTGGCTCAGGACCGTGCTTTGTGGCATTCCTTGGGGGAGGCCTATGTTCAGCAGTGGACTTGTGAAGGGCTGTAATGATGATTGCAGTCAAAAGTAGTTTTGACTAAGGATGTTGGTCAAAAGTAATTTTGCCTTATTTAAAGTTCATACTATCGGTGAAAACTCGCAATATCATTGAGAGTAGGTTAAGGTGCGACTGGTGGGATAGCTTGATATCTTGTGCTGTGACGTACAACATTCAATGTTGGTGTAAGTGAAATTTTTAAATCTTTTGACGGGTCATTTCTCAATCCGACTTCAATAAGGAGACGGTATTCAATTCACTGTATGTTTTTTTATGTGTGTGTGTTACTTCATAACTTTTTTCTTGGTGAACCGATTTCGTTGATTTTTTTTCATTTACTAGCTGGTGCTTCTCATGTGGTCCCGTATAAATTTGGTCAAGGTCTGACCAATAGTTTTTGAGTTATTCTTAATAATTTGTATTGAAGTCGGCTGTACAAAAAAAGAGATGTCGCTAGTGCACGCCCACAGACATGTGAAGTTAAATGTGGCCAGCTTTCAAAACAAATATTTTACATAATTTAAAGCTAAACATTTCAAGTTTGTTTTTCTTATTTTTAGAGAAAAAGCAAAAGAGAAAATCCAGTACGCCAGCGCAGTGTATAAATGCGAACTTTGTATAATAGGTTTCTACAGTCAACAGCAGGTCGAGGAGCACTATGTGTCGGCGCATAAGGCTGTAAGTTATTTTTTGTAATAAATCAAAAATAATTTGTAGAGTTTAAACTATACAAACGTACGCGTTTCACTATATGCATATGAAAGTATATACGGTACTTATAACAAAAACACAATTTTTACAATTTTTGTCTGTCTGTTTGTTCCGTCTAATCTCTGAAACGGCTGAACCGAATTTGACGGGACTTTCACTGGCAGATAGCTAATGCTATAAGGACTAACTTAGGCTACTTTTAATTTGGAAAAGGAATTAGGGTTACGCGCAAAAAAAAAACCCATATAATCCAATCGTAATAAATTCCATCTGGGCAAAGTCTCGGGGAACAGTTAGTATTGAATAAAACTATTTTTACGGATATTATTCCCGACGTTTCGGGTGCTTTACAGCAACCCATGGTCACGGTGGGGGACTTTTTTTCTAGAATAAGAGTGGAAAGCTCCACCTAATGATTAGTGGATGCTGTGGCCCGTAGACATCCATATCTATCCTAGATTCAGTATCAAAATGCAGATTCGTTGTCACCCCTTAGGACTAAGGTATAATAATATTGTATATAATTTATTGTAGTTAATATTATGAGTAATTCAGTTAATTACTGAACATGAGACCAGTCCGAGTTTGAGGCCATTAGCAGAAGTAGAGAAACTGCTCTTTGTCAATTTTGGCCTAAAGGTATTTTATGCTGCATCCTATATCTCGAAAGAGATCAGACGAGAGTGGAAAAAATATTTGAGGCTAAGTTTACAATTATGGAAGATGATGATTGGTTTTCAACAGTGTGTTAAGCAGTATAAGATGTCACGTTTTGTTTGCGATAAATGTCGGGTCCAGTACATCGTTAAAGGATGTAATGACTTCTCCAAATGCTAACTTAACCTAGTCGTGATGCACACGTCTAACGAACAAAGTTCTAATGGTCATGAAAATGGTAATACGAGAGACCATTTAGTCATCACAGTGTGAATCACCATTTTACATTGCGTTATTAATTTTTTTCTGTTGTAAAAGTAAAGTTGCAGCCTATTTACGTCCCGCTGCTGGGCACAGGCCTCCTCTCATTTCTGAGAGGGTTTTAGGGCAAGGAAATGTCCGCCGCGCTGCTCCAATGCGTGTTGGCGAACTTCGCATGTCTCCGAAAATATTATTTTTTTCTTATTTCTTAAACATGTAGGTTTTCACGATGTTTTCCTTTACCGCTGAGCACATGGTAAATCAGCACTTAAAATTGCAATTAACAATTTCATTGGTGCCGGCGCGGATCGAACCCGGGTTGTTTGAGTACTGTGAAGCTTACAACGAGCGCTAACCATCTGAGCTACCACGACTCAGATGGTTATTTTCTGTTGTAATTCTAATAAAATGTAAAGTTCTAAAAACGTTTTAATCGATCTAGTAATTCTTAACTTAGTGTTCATATTAATAAACGGCAATCAACTTATATAATATGTATTGAAATAAATCGTTCTCTAGTGTAGTTATTTGACGTCTTTCCATAGGGATTTTGTACTTGTGATACACTATAAACAAATTAAGGCATTAATATATAGACAAGAAACAAAAAGGGACCAAGAATTGTGCCCTGAGGTACACTCTTTAATAACTGATGACCTAATTATTTTTTCCGTTATTACTTAAATAGAAAGTAATGAGTTTATGCGCAATATTTTTGTATGTGTGTTTGTTTGTATCATAGCCGAGGACATGGTTAATTATCCCGAATTTAACTAATAAGGTTCAGTGGCGGATACGGGGATTGCATAGAGTAAAGTAGAAAAATTAAAAACGAGCGATAGAAGATGTAATGTAAGATCTATGGCAAACTATGTATGAACTCGCAGTATATTGACAGAGAGCGGGCACGACGGCATGCAAAATATGCTTCGCGTACATAGAGGAGGAGCGGATGTCGCACCACCTGCAGGCGCACTACCTGCGCCACGTGTGCCGCCTGTGCGGCCACACGGAGGCCAGCGCCCGCCTCGCGCAGGTGCACGCACAACAACACCTCGACAAGAAACCGCCCAGCGCACTCATCAAGATAGGCGACGTCGCGCCCGTGAACAAGGTCAGTGCTCACAGATATCGTGCAGTATTCACACGCATTCGCATCTCAACCGTTAAAGTAATATGTGTACTACTTACGAAAAGATACGTCGAGATTTAGTCGTTTGTAACACTCGTTAGAACCAGCAGGCCCCAACTTACTTAGTCTGTGCCATTGAAATATTATTTTTAACTTAAAAAGTACACTGTACCTCCTTCCACGTGCTCCACACTGGCGCACACATTTTGTTCGCGGTATCCATTCTAATACGTGTTTTTTTTTTTATAGAATAAGCGTGACAAACAAGCACACAGTCCACCTGATGGTAAGTGGTTGCTGTGGCCCATAGACATATACATCTATCTTCGATTACGAATCAAAATGCAGATGCCTTGTGTTTACGCCCGAACACTGATTTCGGGATTGACGTCAGAGAGCGCGCGGCTCGGCGATACCGGTTTGACGTTCGGTCGTGCGTAGAACGCGCGAGGGCAAATAGGATTCGTCTGCCAGCTGTGCTCGGAACAGCACGCTGTCATTTTTGTCGGGAACTCGGAATAATTTAGGGGCGTCTAGTAAATATACTGTCTGGGATTTGTAACGCGCATTCCTTGCTTGAGAGCTTCACCCGGGACTCATTGTGTCTGACTCAGAATCTGTATAAGTGCATTCGACAATATTAGCTAGTGCGGCATTTGGTATTCTAGAAATAACGGTTGCCACGCGAAGCGGTAGTGAACTTTGATCCGGACATTCGTATTCGGGCGGTGTGTTACGTTTTTGCTTATAGTAACGGGATAGTAGACCGACGCTCCGTGTTCGTTTTGTGTGTTAAGCTTTATAACAAACGAGAGTTAGTGGCTTCTTTAAGTTATGTAATCGTACGATAGAGTTAATGGACTGTCATCGTGACGAACGAAGAAAGTGACTGTTGTACGGCGCCGCGGAAGATTACCTCAATTTGGAGCGGTGCTGACGTCCGGGCTGCTGCCGACGGCAAAGGTCTAATAAGGTCAATCACCACCAGTCACACCCAGATACACATCACAGCACCTTATTTCCCTTGCACCACACAACCACATGCGACCTGACCGAATCCGGAGGGACCAGTCGCCTTGGATATAGGTAAGTAAGCTCGGTTTAATATTCTCCCTGTTGAATGGCAGTAGTATAGAACGTTCCCCTTTATTGTTTATTGTAATTAGAGACTTTCCACGCGGCCCGACCTGCATCTGCTTGTAAGGTCTTCCGCTGTGGGCCCGGAAGATTCTACTCTTATTTAGGCAGCTGTAGGCCGTAACAAACTGGTAGCAGAGCGTGGTTCCGGGTTCGATTCCCCGGTCGATCCCGACCATAGTGTTTGATAAAAACTAAACAATTCTGGTGGCAGGGAGCGTTGGTTTGATTGGTTTAATTTTGTGTCTACAATCACGCCCGTCCGTAATACGTAAAAATATTTTTTTTGTACGTAATAATAAAATTATTTTCCTTTGTTGCTTGCTTATTTGGATAGCGGGTAGATTTGAAAAGCCGCGCCTGTTTAGTGCGCAAGCGGGAATTTTTCTAGAGGTATACGTCATGTAGGTAGATGGTTATTATCACGTAATCGGTTAATTATCGTTGTCGGATAGTTGTAGTGGATTGCTTATCGAAGGGTCGATTTCCGAGCTAGGCATTTTTTGTTGATCGGCCGTGATGTGTATCTTCGTTTCTATTGTAATTTGTATTTGAACTAAAGAGCAGTAATTTGTATTTGCGCAATTTGAATTTAACTTGATTTGATCGCACTAGTATTTGTTATTTGTTAATTTGATTTGTGTCTTTTCTTTTGTGCTAACTTGTATTTGATTAATAAGTAGTAGTTCGTATTGGTGTAATTTCTATTCAACTCGATTTGATAGGAACTGCATTTGTTAACTGTTAACTTTATTTGTATTTGTTATTTGTTATTTTTGTAATTTGTGCTCGAGCCGCGTCGTAATTTGTATTTAGTAGTGATGTCATCGCCCAAACTACTAATCCGTTGCCTGCGGACTGAGTTACGCTGGGCCACAAGCGCCCATGCTTTGATAGGACGACCGGATAGGGTCCATAACTTGATGAAGCGGTTCGAGCAGGCCGATGCTCGAAGGGCCGCAGTGGAGGAGGCTTACGCTGAGCTCGAGGATTCGGATGTGGAAAAGGGAGTCCTGGACTCCTGCTTCGCGGACTACGAGCCGTTCTTTTCGCTCACGGACGAGTTGATCGAGGCTGAAGGCAGGTATGCCGAGGAGGCGCGTGAAGCTCGGATGAGTGGCCTGCCCGAGTTCTCTCGGAAGCAGCTTCAGCCGGAGCTGTTGGGACGACTCCCAACTCTGGACCTGCCAAGGTTCCTTTCCGAATGGCTGACCTTCGTTGGTCTTTTCGACAGCCTAGTGGACGCCCGGAGTAACTTGACCCCGAGCCAAAAAATGGCGTACCTCCTGGCCTCACTGGAGGAGGAGGCCCTGGGCGTCGTCGGCCACTTGAGATTGCCGGACGACTCCTACCAGACTGCTCGGGACCTCCTAGCCAGAAGATACGCCAACGTCCGGCGAATTGCGGACGAACATGTTAAGCAGCTTCTAAGCATCCCGCTGCTTAGTGACCGGGCCAGACTACGTCCGGACCTTTTGGATCCAGTCTTGGTGGCCTGTAATACGTTGAGGCGGCTGGATTTACCAGTGGGCGAATGGGCTTTTTTGTTGCTCCGCATCGTGCTGTCCCGTCTACCTCTCGGCCTTCGAATCCATTTTGAGGAGAGGTACGGCGGGGACGAGGCTTCCTATATTCCGCCCTTCTATGACCTGCTGCGGTTTTTGAAGGAGCAGTGCCGGCAGATCGAGTACGCGGTGGGCACCGTTGACGACTTAGGAGCCGTGCCCAGTGAGAGGCTGAATCCGCCAGGCAAGTCGTCGTCAAACCCTCCCCCCCCCCTGCTCCTATTGTCGAGCATCTGATCACCGGGTAACATCGTGCCCGAAATTATTAAGTAAGCCGGTTCCGGCGAGGCGAACTATCGCCAAGGAGCGCCGCTGGTGCTACTCATGTTTGGAAGGGCACCTCCAGCGAGACTGTCCGCACCGGCGGCCCTGTCTGCATTGCCAGGGCAACCACCATGCAGTTTTGTGCCTGGGTGCGAACGGCGTCTCCTCTCGGGGCTCTGCCAGGCCCTCGACCCCCACGGGCGGGGGCCTCAGCCACGCCCTCTGACGGGCGACTCTCGGCGCCCGCCGGCCAACCACCAGGCCCCTAGGTTTGAAAGGGGTCCCTCCCCCGACCAGTCGGGGGGTAATTCCTCCAGGGGCGGGGGTGTCATCACCCCCCTCAGCGTGTGGAGAGGAACTTCACGGCCACTCATCAGTTCGCTAGACCCTTCTCACTCCCGTTAGCTAAGTGGCCGCGACTGGTGTACCACTGTTCCCCATTTGATGGAGGCGGCCCTAGCTAGCTGCCGCCTTAGCTCCCACCTTAGCTCCCACCACGGCCGCCTCCACTGAGCCTTAAGCCATCAACAGTCCACTTGTCAAAATGTTCTGCTGCCGACGGCCTCAGTGAAGGCGTACAACCCGAGTGGCGACTGTTAGCGGTTTGCGCTCTATTGGTCTCGGGTTCACGCCGTGTGGCCTCCACTTGGTGGTGGGAAGATTAGGGCTTACCCTGGAGCGTTGAATCACGCTGTCAAGGGGTATTAGATTTGGTTTGGTCGAGCACTTAGTTAAAAATTCTTTAAATTAAAATAAAAAAATGCTTTTGGGTTTTCCGCGAAATTTTCATATTTGTAGCGGTTGTGATTAAAAGAATTGAATTTAATCTACTCCTTTTAATGCTGCTGCATATGTTTTGTAAATATATTTAATCACTGTGTTTGTTGTTGCACGGAAAATTGAAATTGAATTATGTGCCCCTTTGAATGCTTGTGCGTATGCTTTGTAATTGTATTTGATTGTTGCGTCTGTTTGCTGAAAGGAAAGTTTGAATTCATTTGAAATTGAATGTCGCGCTATTTGGAAAATTATGTATATGTTTAGTGATAGTGTTTAATCATTTTGCTTTGTGAAAAGGAAGGCTGAAATTAGATAACCCTATTTGTGCCGAATGGAATAAAAGTCAATTCTCCTTTGGTTTACATTTTGTTGGCACTGTCTAAGTTATTTAAATGAGAAATAGGGCTGTCTCTTGCGTTTATTGTTTTGTTTAATTTGTCAAGTTGACCTATGTGCATCGGTGATTAATTTGGTTGAATTGATTCTGTAGTTGAACATTGATGCTTTGAAAAATTAGTTGAAATATGAGCATAGGACTACTTGTCTAACAGGCTGGCTAGTTTGTAGATTATCAGACGGAAATCAGCTGTCGCACCATTTGGTAAATGATTATATGGTGGATGGCTTGGTTATACCTACTTGTTTGAAAATTCATACTAGGGACTATCTGTGCGTTCGTTCGGCTCTCCACAGACGACGTTCATGGGGAATTTGGGGGTGCTCTCTGCACTGAAACTTAGGAGGTCACTCTGGGTCGCTTCGTGTCGCGTCGCTGTTTGCAGACCTGACCCGGTCGGATTGCGGAACTAATCATAGGAGCACAGATAGGTGTTTGGAGGAGGTCGTCGGACTTCTGTCTAAGAATAGGACTTATTTATGGGCTGCGATGTCCAGGAAGGGCATCCAGTTCAACCCTCCGGCTTGCCCACGTTGGGGCTGTAATTTTGAGGCGTTGGTTAGGTTTGCAAGACCTGATGGGGTGCCTAAGGGTGGCCTAGTTTGGTTGTAGATTCGGTCTTGCAACTTGCCGTCGTGACCCTGTCCCGCTGACCGGTTTGCTCGCGGACCTAAATCCTTATGTCCGGGACGGGGGTTTGTTTACGCCCGAACGGCGCGGCTCGGTGATACCGGTTTGACGTTCGGTCGTGCGTAGAATGCGCGAGGGCAATAGGATTCGTCTGCCAGCTGTGCTCGGAACAGCACGCTGTCATTTTTGTCGGGAACTCGGAATAATTTAGGGGCGTCTAGTAAATATACTGTCTGGGATTTGTAACCCGCATTCCTTGCTTGAGAGCTTCACCCGGGACTCATTGTGTCTGACTCAGAATCTGTATAAGTGCATTCGACAATATTAGCTAGTGCGGCATTTGGTATTCTAGAAATAACGGTTGCCACGCGAAGCGGTAGTGAACTTTGATCCGGACATTCGTATTCGGGCGGTGTGTTACGTTTTTGCTTATAGTAACGGGATTTCATATAGACCGACACTCCGTGTTCGTTTTGTGTGTTAAGCTTTATAACAAACGAGGGTTAGGGGTTTCTTTAAGTTAGTTAATCGTACGATAGAGTTAATGGACTGTCATCGTGACGAACGAAGAAAGTGACTGTGGACGGCGCCGCGGAAGATTACCTCAATTTGGAGCGGTGCTGACGTCCGGGCTGCTGCCGACGGCAAAGGTCTAATAAGGTCAATCACCACCAGTCACACTCAGATACATATCACAGCACCTTATTTCCTTTGCACTACACAACCACATGCGACCTGACCGAATCCTGAGGGACCAGTCGCCTTGGATATAGGTAAGTAAGCTCGGTTTAATATTCTCCCTGTTGAATGGCAGTAGTATAGAACGCTCCCCTTTATTGTTTATTGTAATTAGAGACTTTCCACGCGGCCCGACCTGCATCTGCTTGTAAGGTCTTCCGCTATGGGCCCGGAAGATTCTACTCTTATTTAGGCAGCTGTAGGCCGTAATACCTTGTCACCCGTGAGGACTAAGATGGAATGCCTTTTTTCCAGTAAAAAAGGTCTCCGGTTCTCTACACTCACCATACGAAGCACACGCTGGTATTCTGTGAAAGCGTGGTCCTTCCCCGGTCGAGCCGACCCTTTCGTGCTACAACTATACCAGTAATATAGCTGCAGCATGGCTCTACCACCTGGTATATATGACTTCAATGATCTCTTCGCTGTTTTAAATTGTTAGTATAAATGTTTTACAATTGATATACTAGATCGTTACAACGTCATCTATTAGAGTCGACGAATATTATTTAGTCAATTCTTACGTAATCTACGAAACGAGATGTGATCATGGATAACAATCGCATTTTTTAAAGGGCCGCAAGAGAAAACGGAAAAAGGAAGATTCACCGCCGACTGAATCAGGAAAGCAGGACTTGAGGAAGCTTCTATCTAAAACTACAATAGTTGGTTATAAGTGCTTAGAATGTGATATGTTTTTTAAGTGAGTATTAAAAATTAATAATCATATATTCTTTTTAAATATGTCAGTCATATTTACCCCCAGCACGGTTACATTCAGTGCTTATTCTTGTATATTTGTATGTTATTATAATATATCTTGTATATTTCAATAACATTCCGAAATTGTAGCTTTAGTTAAAATAAGGATACCATCATCATGCTGCAACTGCTACGGTGAATAAAAATTGGTCTACTGATTTGTTTTGAATAAATTAAAATTCTCTAAAATTTAAGTATTTTTAAGAACCGGTAATTTTATATCCGACTCGAAGGACCGAACATACTTTTACCGATTCTAATTTTCTAAATAATATTAGTTGCTGTAAACGGCTGATATACGAAATTGTTATAACGGCACTTATTAGAGCCTAGGGAACCTTTCTCAAATTTTAACCGGTTAATTTTGTTATGCATGTAAATATTTTGTCTAAAAAACTATACTATTTAATATACAGTGAAACCTGGTTAATTGGGATCTCAAGGGACCAATACATATGTACCAATTATTGAGGGTTTCCAATAATCCAGTTTTCTAATTAAGCGGGTTTTAATTATAGTTGTATAATTTACAGAGGGCCCCCGTACTGACAAACAAAGTATGCGCGAAAGACAACGCGAAATGTATGCAAACAAACATGTCAAAACGTGTTAAAGCTAGATTAATTTGTCTCACTTATACAGGTAATTGAGCTGCAGAGTCTCAATTATAGAGGTAAACATCGAAAAATTCTTAGAATTCAAATCTCATTTAACCAGGTTCAAAAAGTCCCATTAACAGAGGTAATTTAATGAAAAAGAACCGGGACCTCATCGCAACTCTCAATAATGGAGGTTTCTCACTTATCCAGGTCCCACTTAACCAGGTCTCACTGTATTATTATTTAATTATAATTATTGTCACCCTGTTTCTACAAAAAAAAAAAGACTTCTCTGATTGAAGTTAACTACAATTATACATGGGCTGCAATAACCACTTAACATCATCTGGACTGCTAATTTACCAAGCAAAATAATTTATTGCTTTATTTTGAAATCGACCAGTTACAAAGCTAAACTTTTCTTTCAGGAATTCCAGGGCGCGTAAGACGCACGTGGCGAGATACCACAGAGAGGGTCTGGAGTGCGATCATTGTAAGAAACGATTTGTAAATAGGACCACTTTAGCGACTCATCTCAGGTAAGACTGTTTGTGTGTATGAAATGATATATATGTTTGGGCGAATAAAGTAAAAGTTACAACCTGTAACAAAAACCCTGTATGATCCGTGGAGGCATGGTGAACTTTTAGACATTGGGATACAATTCTGTTAATGTAAACCTATTCAGACAATAATTTAAAAACAATTACGCCAAAATAATCAGTTACGACTGTCGGATAACGGTACCGTCAAACGTTCAAAGATGCCGACGAAGAAAGAAACCGACTGCAATGTTGCCAGATTTTGAAAATTTCCTGAATTTTACGCTAATTTAAAAATAAACTTTATTTCGAATTACAATTACATTTTATATTCATCACAGACATATGTCACATTGTTTGTCCGCGATGAACTCCTAAACTACTGAACTGATTACAATGAAATTTTGCACACTGTGTGCAATTGTCCAACTTGTGAGATACGACAGTTTTAAGTGACCCTCCATTTTATTATTGCTAATTTCAGTTGTTTTTTTTTATTAGGAAAGCAAATGGTCAGCTAGTTAATAATATGTTTTTTAGTAATGTCATTACTAAACTATCTATGTGACCCTTTCGGATTAGATAAGGAGTTTTTTTCATCAAAGACCAATTAAATAATTATTATAATAAAATCAAAGACCATTTGTTTTATCAGTTTTTCCCAAAAAATCTTCAATTGTTTTCGGAATAATAAAGCCTAGGTGACTCCTCCACTCTATCTGTTGGTGAAGTTTCATCACAATCTTTTCGGCTATTTCTAAAATTAGCTCGGACAGACAGACAGGCAGACAGACAAAAATAAAAATAAAATATTATTCATGTAATATATCACTCAAATAATTCCCTAAACTTAACCGAAGCCAGTAATTTCTATATTACAAACGGACACTTCAATTTTATATAAATGTGTAGATATAATGATACCAAGTGTTTAAACTTGCGTGCATGTTAACGACAAAATTATTTTATAATAAAATATATGAGTTAAGAAATTTATACATACCGACTAAAACTGTTAAATGCTCTCGTTACGCGCCTTGGTATAGTCAGCCTTTGATAAAGATACTACGAAATAAAAACAAATACCATCGTAAGTACAAGACCTATGGCAATCTAGGTGATTATGAATCTTTTTCATTTCTACGTGCAAGAGCTAAGGATGTTGAAAGAGAGTGTTACCATAATTTTATCTCACAAACGGAAAAACACATTGCTAGCAATCCAAAGTCGTTTTGGAGATATGTTAAATCCTACAAGAATAATCAGTCATTTCCTAGCAATATGTCACTGCAAAATGAAACAGCTGTGAATGGACAACAAATAAGTGACTTATTTGCAAAATACTTTCATTCCACATTTTCCTCTCCGTACGGTAATTTTCATGCTGGTCATATGACTATTAAAGAGTTAAACATTCCGAACTCAGTTAGTTTGAATATCATATCTATACATATAATAAAACTGTAAATAGCAGATGTCTGTACATTTTATATTTTTGTAATAAAAGTGATTGAGGGGTACTAAAAATAAGTAATTAAATACATTTCTACCATTTTTAGAATTTTCTGTCTGTCTGTCTGTCTGTCTGTTTGTTTGTTAACGTATCACGTATAAAGTACTAATTTATATCATAAGAATTGTTAAGGAAATTATAAAGTGTATCTTCGGGTTACATTTAGTCTTTATTTCATTAAAATCAGTTCATTCCATCTAAAGTTATGATAAATATTCTGAAGTATGGGTAGGGAAGTATAGGTACGAATTTGCTCAACGGTGGCTTTGTTTGAGTCATCAAGTGCATTTTAAACTAATATCATATCATAAATCATAGTTAAATTAAGTAAAATAATGATATAATTATGTATATCTAAAACGCAGTAAACAAAAGTATTAAAGAACGTATTAAATATATTATACAAAAATATATTAACCTTATTAACTAAATCTGAAGCACAATAGTTAACCCATTTCTTCGATAGATGGTGGTGTGGCATAAATGTGATACAAAAAGGCAGGTTAAAATTTATTCCTGTAGTTGAGTTTCATATTTGCTTCTAACCTTTATATTAATGACACGCTGCCCTACTGCGTGTTGACAATCTCATTTATTTTTTATTTTTTTACCGCCGAGTACTCTATGTGGTAAATCAAATTTTAAGAGCTATTAACAATTTCATTTTTCGGCGAGGATCAAACTTTCTTTTTTGCTTACTATGCAGGCACTGATTTATAAGTTCTTTTATGTTTTTTATTGTATCAATCGTGTGAATTAATCTCTTATTTTTAGAATTGATGTTAACAGCGCCATCTCTCTTAAATCTATACATATAATAAAAATGGTAATAACATGTTATGTCTGTTTCTGAATATTGTATAGTATATTAATTTGCGACTAAAATCATTATTGGGACTGTAAATCATTAAATAAGTACATTTTTATAATTTTTAGAATTGTACTATCTGACGGTCTGTCTGTTTGTTTATGGACGCATGACGTTTTGAGTAAACATCTTTTTTTTTTCAATGAAATCCTTAAGAAAATCATAAAGCGTATTATCAAGTTCATTTAATCTTTGTTTTATTGAAATTGGTTAATTCTATCGAAAGTCATGATTATTATTTTGAAATGTAGGTTCGAATTTGTTTAATGGCGCCACAAAATCCCAAAAATAGTAATAAAAAGATTCGTGTGTAAAAAAAACGTTCTATTATAATATATTTCGTATCGTTCTATTATAGTACTTAAAACACAGTAAAAATATGTTTTCCTTAAATTAAAAAAGGATGTTTTCTCACAAAGAACGTAATAGATGGCGTTGTACAAATTACAACCTTTTCTGAATTGCGGTGTTAAGATTTTTCGCAGGTGAATCGTATTGAGACTCACTGTAATAATTTATGTCCATGAGCCTGACGAAGCTGTAAGCCTGTAAGGTATACATACAGAGGTATTGAAATATTTAATTATTCAACAAAACTCGACTAAAACTAAAAGTAGCAAAATTGCAATAAATGTCGTGATGGTGATATTGTTTTATAGCCAGAATCACTCTAATACCAAATAACTTTTTTTTCAGTTTTAAGTAAAGTAAAGTTGCAGCCTATTTACGTCCCACTGCTGGGCACAGGCCTCCTCTCATTTCTGAGAGGGTTTTAGGGCAAGGAAATGTCCACCGCGCTGCCCCAATACGTGTTGGCGAACTTCACATGTCATCGAAATATTATTTTTTATTTCTCAAACATGCAGGTTTCCTCACGATTTTTTCCTTCACCGCCGAGCACGTGGTAAATCAGCACTTAAAATTGCAATTGACAATTTCATTGGTGCCGGCGGGGATCGCACCCGGGTTGCTCGAGTACTGTGAAGCTTACAGCGAGCGCTAACCATCTGAGCTACCACGGCTCAGGCTTCAGTTTTAAGATAGGGATAATAACATCGATGTTGGCATCGCTAGCTCAACATCGATGTTCGATGTTTAGGCCACTCAAAACATCGATGGTGACCATTATCGATGGTTTTTGTATATGTGTAGATAGTTACACATTGTTTTAAAATTATGTGGGTATACACAGCAAGGGAAAAGTAACAATTAACTTGAATATCAATTTACGTAGAATAGTTATTATGCGACAACCGACAACGACACTACAAAATAAAGCGAAAGCAGTGACCATTGTGACATTACAGGAGACACTTGACAATTAAGTTTGACTCACCATACTGACATTTTTTTAGATTAACGATGCGTTCAGAAATTCTGAATTATTCAAAATTTTTAATCTTCAGAGCAGATGCAAGATTTAGTTGATATTGATTTCGCGAGTTCGCATTGTTTGCAAGTTCCCAATTATCGATTATGGGTTCATTAACGTCGATGTTTCGATGTTTGACATATGTCAACATCGATGTTAAAACATCGAAGTTTTAATTTTTAACATCGATGATCATCTAACATCCCTATTTTAAGTGTGTTTCCCACTCAGCGTGTGTTATGCGACGATCGTAAATAAAGCGCAAGGTCAAACTTTACGCGTCAGTACTGATTGTTTTGCACATGGCCAGCTCTATATTGCTTTTTCTCGCGTTAGTAGTCCCCGTAACCTTTTTCTGTACGCCCCGGCTAAGTCTACTTCTATCGTCGTTTACACAGAAGCTCTATCATAAACGACTTAGAACTTTGAGAATATCGATTTATTTTGTTACCACTTATTCATAGAGTAATGATATAAATCGGTTAATATTCTCTTACCCTAAACGTCAAATTCTTTAAGTAAAACCTATATTCGCGAGCTACGCCGCGGGCACAGCTAGTGTATTAATAAAACTGAAATCAATAAATTACTTGAGTCATTGGATCTGAACAAATCGGGTGGGCCGGATCTTATACCACCTATTTTTATAGTTAATTGTTGCAAAGAGCTTTCGGAGCCTCTGTTCATTCTCTTTAAGCGATCGATAGCTGAAGGTGTTGTTCCCAAAATTTGGAAGCAGGCATACATCACACCTGTTCATAAAAAAGGGAACACCACAAAAATAGAAAATTACCGGCCTATATCAAAACTATGTTTATTTGCTAAAGTATTTGAAAAGGTAGTATATCAACAAGTGTACAATTCTATTTCCCCTATACTTAGCGATGCCTAACATGGATTTCTTATAAAAAGATCAACTGTTACTAATCTGATCCTTACAAATAATTACATTTCAAAAGGTATGGACATTGGACTCCAAGTTGACTGTGTTTATACTGACTACAGTAGATGTTTCGATCGAATAGATCATCAAATCCTTTTAAAAAAAATTGGCAATGTCAGGTATACATGGAGATCTTCTGCGATGGTTCTCCTCTTATATTGAAAATAGGTCACAAGCAGTAGTGCTTAATGGGTTTATGTCCACTTGGCTACCGGTTCCTTCAGGCGTACCTCAAGGCTCTCTGTTGGGCCCCCTACTATTTATTATCTTTATGAACGATATAGAGAAGTGTTTCTTGTACTCCAAAGTACTCTTATATGCTGATGATATGAAAATACTTAAATTCATCTCTAGCACAGATGATACTATGTTATTGCAATCAGACTTGGAAAGATTTGAAACATACTGCAATATAAATAAACTAGATTTAAATGTATCTAAATGTTTTTTTGTGTCCTTTACAAGGAAAAGCGATTCAATCAATGGCGGCTATCACTTGAAGGGTACCTCTTTGGCTAGGGTATATGAAGCCTGTGATCTTGGAATAATTCAAGATTCTAAACTTATCTACGACAAGCATATATCTAGCATTATAACTAGGGCATATAAAGCCATGGGATTTGTCATCCGCTGTTCTTGTGCCTTCAACAGCCTAAAGACGATAAAAATTCTCTACTGTTCATATGTACGTCCTATTCTTGAATATGCATCACAGGTCTGGAACCCACAATATGAGGTTTATAAGTCTCGTATTGAGGGTATCCAGAAAAGGTTTCTAAAGTGTCTTGATTATAGAGCGCATACGGATTCTCAGAACTATGAAGAGAGGTGCAAACGATATCACTTTCTTCCTTTATCTGTTCGGCGTAATATTAATGACGTATGTTTTTATCTAAAAATTTGCAATGATTCAATTTACTCCCCGGAATTATTATCTGATGTTACTTTAAATGTTCCATTAGCAAATAAGAGGAAACGCAAACTTCTTTACATAAACAGAGCTCATACGAACTATAGACGTAATTCTTTCATGATTAGAACTGCTAAATTTATAAACTCGCTTAACTTTGATATTGATCCATTTAATACTACCCCGAGTGTGGCCAAGAGTACCTTAACCAGTGAATATTTTGCTTAAATTTTTATATTAAGTCTTAAAATATTCATAATACACATAGCTTTTTAACTTTAAGGTACCTATTGTTAACTAGTTAATATATCTTTGAATTGTCTTTTGTTTATACTTTTTATTTTTAATTCTAAAAGTGGAAACTTGTAAATGGCTTAATAGTATATTATTATATCTTTTATTTAATTATAAGAAATTGCTGTAAGTTTTCCGAATAAAATAAAATAAAAAATAAAATTAATCGTTAAAATTCAGGGTTCTTTGGTGTTTCGATAATAATACACTTTTTCAACCGATTTCAAAACAGGAGGTTCTCAATTCGACTGAATCTTTTTTATGTGTGTTACCTTAGAATTTTTTCTAGGTAAACCGCTTTTGATGATTCTCTTTTTATTTGAAAGCTGGTGCTTCTCATGTGGTCTCATATAAACTTGATCAAGATCTGACCAGTAGTTTTTAAGTTAATCTTAATAATGCGTATTTAATTGATTTCGACTACATTGATGATGTTCTCATTTTATTTATATTGAAGTCCATTGTACAAAACTTTTAATATTATCACTTGGTAATCTTAACAGGTGTCGTCAGTACACCGGTGTTATATGTAAGACACCTCTTTGCCATTTCTATACCTCCACATTATCCCTTTGCAGGCTGCACGAAGGCCCTCTCCCACGGGAGGAGTGCCCCATCTGCCACAAGATGGTGCGCGTGATCCAGCTCAAGTACCACATCCAGCGGCACCAGAACAAGAGCCGCTACGAGTGCAGCGACTGCAACAAGGTGTTCTCGCATCTCACCACCTACCAGGCGCATCTCAAGTACTCGAGGGCACACGCTTCCGAGCAGATATTCAAGTAAGTCAATATCAGATTGTATCTCATTGAACATGATAGCACTCTTATAACGTAACTAGCTGTTCCGCACGACTTCGCCCGCGCGTAATTTTATTACGATTGGATTTCATGGGTTTTCATTTTTTGCGCGGAATCCTAATTCTTTTTGTAAAGTAAAAGTAGCCTAAGTTACTTCTTATAACATCAGCTATCTGCCAGTGAAAGTCCCGTCGAAATCGGTTCAGCCGTTTCGGAGATTAGCCGGAAAAAACAGACTGAAAGACAGGCAGACAAAAATTTTAAAAATCGTGTTTTTGTTATAAGTACCGTATACACTTTTATATGCATATAGTAAAACGCTGTTATTTCAACATTACAAACAGACACTTCAATTTTATTTATTTGTATAGATTGTTAATACAATTTTGTGCTGTTATTTTCGTTTTATTATTCTATTCACGGCTTAAAATAAAGTAAAATGGCGTAGGGAATTGACGAGCCCATCGCACGCTGACGTAACAGTTAAGTGACAGAACTGCTAAGTTGACGCAGTCAGTCAGCGCCTTGCCAAGATGTGTTAGCGGCGTGCCTCGACAAAATTGAGAGTGCAAAGGCCCGCTTGTTCATATGGGCTAGCAAGTTACTCTTACACGTGGTAGAGCCATGCTGCAGCTATATTAGTAGTATAGTTGTAGCACGAATGGATCGGCTCGACCGGGGAAAGACCACGCTCTCACAGAATACCAGCGTAAAATAGCAGCTTAATGCTGCTGTATTTCGTATGGTGAGTGTAAGAACCGGAGAACCTTTTTACTGGAAAAAAGGCATTCCATCTTAGTCCTCACGGGTGACAACGCATCTGCATTTTGATTCGCAAACGAGGACAGATCTAGATGTCTTGGACCATGGGCATTGATACCATCAGGTGGACTGTGTGCTCGTATGTCACCCTTATTCTATATTTTTTTAAAAAAAGCAACCCCATATCGTCCCGTGGGTGTCGTAAGGCGCGACAGAGGGAAACATACCAGAAGATAGGGCAGCTTTCTTCTTTCTAATAACTTACAAATTAAGCAGGTGTGGACTTTTAATAGGCTGTAATGAATCAATGAATATAATATTTGGCGATCGAGATTTATTTATTTATTTATACTTCAAGGCACAAAGTAGCACATATGGCAGACTTACACACACACACACACTCCATCCCAGACATAATCATCACCGAACTGTTTTTTTTTTATATAACTGCCTGCTTTTAAACTGCTTGCTATAATGTAATCACCAATTAAATCAACTCGCTATGGTGTTATATAGAATAACTTAAAGAACCGAACCACTAACTTTCAAAACACAGGTAACCCTAGCATGAAAGTCAGGGGATCGACTTATTTATAGGTCATTTAGGCTAGCCATATTGTTACAATTTATCTACAATAACATTGTGTTAAGTTCAAGGCTTTATTTTTAATAAATTTAATAATCATCATCATCATAATTACGGCCCTTTACAAGTCCACTACCTCATAGGCCTACCCCAAAGAATGCCACAAAGCACGGTCCTGAGCCACCTGCATCCATCGACTTCCTGCATATCTTACCAGGTCGTTACTCCATCTAGTGGGTGGAAGCCCCTACACTTCGTCCGCCGGTACGAGGCCGCCACTCGAAAACCTTTTTTCCCCAACGGTTGTCGGTTCTTCGAGCTATATGGCCGGCCCATTGCCACTTCAGCTTACTAATCCGTTAAATTTATTATTTAACGGATTAGTAACTAGTATATAGTATTATTTATTATTATTAATAGTTAATGCCATTGGGCTTGGTTTCAACCATGTTTACACCGTTTCCCCCAGGTTCCCTTGTCCGATGTGCAACAAGGGCTACCCGACTAAAGAAGCGATGCAGGACCACTTCAACTACCAGCATCTAGGCAAAACGTCACACAAGTGCCCCATCTGCGACAAGGTACTACTACTGTTCACCTCACTTTAATATGTACTATAAGCTGAGAAAACAAAATTATAATACGAACGTTTGTATGTATTCTGTTTGGTAGTGGTGGTAAACAAACAAAAGTATTAATTATTATTACTACTACGTCGGAAGCGACAGTAGCCTAATGGCAGGGTGCGGGACCTGTTTTAAACTTAAAAGGTCGTGGGTTCGAATCCGCAATTCAACTATTGTCGTGAACGATTCCTAACACAAGCACTTTAAGCTTACCAAAAGTGGTTACGTACTATTAGTAATGTTAATAATATATCAAGTTTTTTTTTTAATTAAATAAAAATCGTTCGTCATACATACAGCAAAGGATTGGAATAAGTTGCCAGCATCTGTCTTTCCATCCGATCACAATGTGGGTGTCTACAAGGCAAGAGTCAATAGGCTTTTGTTAAGTCAGTGCGCTTCACTGACTTTAGCTACAGTAACTTACCCTCAGTTAGGATTTTTTTTAATAGAATAAGGGTGACAAGCGAGCACACAGTCCATCTGATGGTAAGTGGTTGCAGTGACCCATAGACATCTACATCTATCCTCGTTTGCGAATCAAAATGCAGATGCGTTGTCACCCGTGAGGACTAAGATGGAATGCCTCTTTTCCAGAAAAAAAGGTCTCCGGTTCTCTACAATCACCATACGAAACACAGTAGTATTAAGCAGCTATTTTACGCTCTGTTGAAATTCATTTAAAAATTGTACAAACAAAATTATTGTAAAGTGAAATATGTTTTTTATTAAAAACCCGCTGGGTTTCTTGTTGGTTCTTCCCAGGTCAGAGGCATTTTTCGAACCAGTAACAAATAAAAAAATTACTTTCTATAAGTAATGTAATAAATAAGTATGTAATAATCAATATTGAATAAAAATATTCCAGTCTATTCTATTCTATTCTGTGTCGATCACTAAAAACCTGAGGGCACTTTAGACAAGTGCTATTTGGACAGTGAACTATTTACGCGATGATGGAGATGCCATATCAATAAAGCTGACTGGTAAACTCTTCCAGCCGATAGCGTCGAAAGCCAACGTAGAGAAACACATGATGAGGGTCCACGGTGAGAAGAAGGAGAAACCGAGGAACCACGTCTGTCAACAATGCGGGAAGGCCTTCACTGTAAGTAGTTAAATTCAGCCTTATTGTTTTTAAATTAAGATTCAAAATTATGGTTCGTGTAATAAATCTTATACAGGGTTATTTTTCAAAGAGTGGCCAAATTTTAAATTTATGTTCAAATATATAAATAATGGTATACCGTTATTGAAGTTTTTTAAAATATGGGTAAATAAGGCTTCTACTTTTATTTGAAATTATCCCAAATTGAATGTGATTTATGGGCAACAACGTTTTTACCCACCGATATCGATCCTTACGAATGTGTGCGTGCGTAAAATAAATTAAAATAAATGCATCACCACGCATTTTGAATTTAAAAGATAATAAGGACAGAATTATTGAGATTTTTTTTTAAATAATTTTTCCTCACCATTCGCCTACAGTACTTATTCTGAACATTCTTTGCTAATTTGGCCGGTTATTGCAAAATAACCCTGTATACCATGTGGATGAGATTACGTTTCTCCATTTCGTTCTGTGGTTTCAATAACCAGCACGCTCAGCTTTGGAAATTTTTTGTAGAATGTAGACAAGCTAGAGAAGCCCTGCCTGCAATAAACAGTCGTTTAATCAAGGTTCTAATGAGACTGTGCAAGCCGCAGATCAGGATAGTAACAAGTGCTATCACAGGACACGGCTCCTTTAACAAACATTTATTTATCATAGGTGTTACAGACAGTCCCCTGTGCAGGGCATGTATGGGGGAGGGAGAAACGGCGGCCCACGTGCTGCTGACATGTCCACAGGTCACTACATACAGGGCTAAACATCTCGGCACGCCGGGATCACTCCCCGAAGTTGCTCGCAACATCAAACGACTGTTGAACTTCTTCGGGCAGATCTCATGGCTGGAATAATCACATTATTCTTGCCCATACGCAAAATACGCGCCTCACGTGGAGTTGCGAAAAACAGCCCGTCGTTATCTTATCCTATCTTTCGTCATGTGGGTGTCGTAAGAAGCAACTAAGGAAACGTCCAAAGATTATCGTGACAAGCAGGAATGTCAGAGGTGCTCACTTCTGGTACTGGTCAAACTGTCTGCCAAGTTGACGATCAATGCAAACCCACCCTACAGCAGGTCTAAGGTCTACGTTTACCTGTGGACTTATACAGATCGAGGAAGAAGAAAGAAAAAAATGATTGTAGAGCAAAAAAGAAGACTAATTTAACGCTAAAAATAATACATATACATATATAATCACGCCTCTTTCCCGTAGGGGTAGGCAGAGACCACTTCTTTCCACTTGCTACGATCCTTACATACTTGTTTCGCTTCGTCCACTTTCATTATTCCCTTCATACATGCTCTGCGGTTTAGGGTATTCTTGATCTGGCCTTTTTTCAAGACGTCCCTGATTTGATTTAGAAACGTCCGCCTAGGTCCACACATTCCAACTGATGATAAATGGACGCTGGGTCCCATAAACATCTACATCTATCCTCGATAAAGAATTAATAGATGTGTTGTCACGTCTGAGGACTAAGATAGAATGTCTCGTTTCTTAAAAAAGGGTTTCCGGTTCTCTTCCCATCACACTAAATAGCAGTTTTAAGCTGCATTTATAGATATTTGATAATTCTTAACGTATAAAATATTCTTCACTCATTTCAATAATTATTAGAATAAATTCCGTTTTCAGGACAAAAAAGCTCTGAACCAGCATGAAGTCATCCATTCAGGCGAGAGGCCGCTGTCCTGTGATATCTGTCAGCAGACGTTCAAGCAAAAAGCGTCCTTATACACACACAAGAAGAGAGTTCACAATGTAGTGCCGGCAAAGAAAGTTGTCGAATTTATGGACACGCAGAAAGCAGGATCGTAGAAGAAGAACAGAAGACGACAAGTGGGTAGATTTGAAAGTCAGAGAAAGTAGATTGAATGTAACATGGGGAGTAAACAACTTTCTCTTTTTGGGTGGGCCCAAGGGGGCAGTCACTGTTGAAGCATTGTTAGAGATCCACCAGTTAGAAATCTTAATCTCTTGTGGATTTGGAGATGCAACGTTTGCTGGTTTCCGATTTGGGGGGGGGGGGGGAGGGGGGGGGATGAGTTCGAAAGTGTTGTGCCCTATCATATAGCTACACCCACGTACACGTGTGTGAACATAGACTGAGCATTTATAAAAATAGATCATTCTCTGAAAAGAGACAATTGTAACACCAATTATTTTCTCACTTAATTAGGATTATAATAACCATAGTTGTTAAAGGCAGACTAACCTGTGAAGTCGGATAATCACTACTCTAGAAAGAGATAAACGATTTCTCTATCTCACTTGTTCATTCATATTTTATCATACAAAACTATAGCGATGGCTAAGTCCATTCTACGCGTACCGCTGTCAGTTGTTTTCCTGTCTATCGATTATTCGATATTATTGACGTTTCCACGTTCTTCATATTTGCCACGTGCTCGGCGGTGAAGGAAAACATCGTGAGGAAATCTGCATTACTGAAAAAAATATATAATTGGGAGACATATAAAATCCGATAACAGACGGGGCAGCGCTAGACATTTCCTTGCACTAAAACCCTCTCAGAAAAAAGAGCAGGCCTGTGCTCAACAGCGATTACTACATCTATACAAATAAATAAAATTGAAGTGTCTCTTTGTAATGTTAAAATAACAGCTTTTTACTAAATGCATATGAAGTAAGTAAGTAAGTATAGACGGTACTTATAACAAAAAAAAAAACAAATCTATTATGTCACTTTCACAACTAAATCTTTATATATAAAAATTACGTGTCTCATTGTTTGTCCGCGATGAACTCCTAAACTACTAAACTGATTGCAATTAAATTTTGCACACTGTGTGCAGTTTGGTCCAACTTGAGATATAGGATAGTTTTTAGCCCTATAAGTGACCATCAATATTTTTTATTAAGAATTTTTATAGGACACAGGGTCGTCGGAATGGGCAAAACGTCTGCCTGGCCAGCTAGTATACATATATAAATATACATACGTACACTCGAAAAACATTATTACATTCATCTACACATACATACTGCATACATACATCTAAGGCAATTGGGTGAAAAGACCAAACAAGCAAGTTTAAAAACAAAAAAAAACAAGAAAACAAGGTCACAGTAATGAAATTATTGTATTGTCAATGGTTCTTAATACATCTGCAAATTTTCAGATTATTAAGACGTCTGGAATTGGGTGAAAACTGAAGTTTCAAATTCCATTTCATTCATACCATACATACAAGTCAAGTTAATGAAAGCGTGTTATAAAGCATTTACTGACCTTACCTACAACTCCAAAAATGTAACTTGTGTCGACATTGTCAAATAGACGCTATTGCGTTGCATTAGTGTTGATATAGTGGACTTATAGAAAACTAGCGAGCCTACCAGATCCAATTGTGAATCTAAACAATTCTCTAATCAACTTAATCACACCCACAAAATTTCTTCAAAATCGGTTTAGGAGGAGTTCACTCATACACACGGACAGAAGAATTATAAAATATATAATATGCATGTATTATACTGTTACTGTTACGAGCTTGGGGTTCGAGACAATTAAAAACTGCCGATTGAATTACCAAAATTGACACTTTAATTACACAACACTAATTACAATCTAAAATCACACTAATAATAAAACACAGTTCGCCGTTATTTCGCTTCGAAGTATTCTCTTGTATCGCCAATTCAATACTGCCTCGATCGTGGTCTATACCGGCCTTATATAGGGCCTCAGATAGTTTCCAGAACCTTCTACTGTAGCGACATCTAGAATGTTCGAGTACATATCGGTCCCGAAATTTCTGGAAGGATCTCGACTCTCTTAGTTCTCCTACTCGACACTAGAGGGCGCTAGTGTAACTAATGTTGCCATGTACAAGACATTAATAGTGGCGCGCAACACTTTCATTTACTCGACACTAGAGGGCGCTAGTGTAACTAGTGTTGCCATGTACAAGACATTAATAGTGGCGCGCAACAATACGTATAAATGCTCCTCTTAAATCTTTCTGTTTATTGATGAAAACTACATCAAAATCCGTTGCGTAGTTCAAAAGATCTAAGCGTACAGACGGCGAGAAGCGACTTTGTTTTATACTATGTAAATATTGTTATTTAATATCTAAGCAATAAGGTCTAATATAAATATGAGCTACATTAAAATTAATTATAGTCTATTCAATATATTATGCAGTCCCGTATGAAGCCTTCTAAAGTCTAAGAAATTAAAAAAAAGGACATGTTCAAATAGACTTACATTAGTTCACCGGAATTTCATACGTGGAATAAACTAAAGTTTGTTAGCAAATATAGTTATGCTATTTTTATTCCTATTTCTCTATGATCGTGATAATTTCGGAGTCCTCGAACTTTTCGATGTCAGAAACTGAAACTTTTTTATTTAATATATATTATCTATATAAATAAATAATAGAGGTTTGCAGTTGAGCACGCGTCATGGAAAAAATACTGGATATATTTCAATTAGGTTTTTGTAAGTTTTATTTCTTATACACTTGGACCTTATCTAAAAAAATATTGCGATATTTTCCTTTAATATAAAGTTATTAAAGTTTTAAGAAACGATGATTTTTATACGGGGTTTTTCACACGGTCAACTGTACGTCGCTTGCTCTCGCGTTACTAACCCAAATAATTTATATATTATAGCTACAAACGGAGCAACGAATGACATTGTTTACAAATAAAATTTTGTCTTTTTTATGTTTTTTCCTTCCCACATACGAAAACTTTGTTAATATATCAAGCAACGCGGATGAAATCGCGGGTATCAGCTAGTAAATAATACTTATTTAAAGTCCTCTGTCCTGGGGAATAACCGACAAGAAACAGAGCGGAAGGTATTTTTTAAAGAGTTAATTCCAGATCGTTTTTTTTTTCTTACTATGGTGGCAGGTCACAGAGGTCGAAGAACCAGCAACCGATGGAGAATTAATGTTCTCGAGTGGCAGCCTCGTACCGAAAAGCGAAGTGTAGGCCGGCGATGCAGGACGTCGATGAATGCTGGTAGCTAAAGACCGTGCTTTTTGACATTCCTTGAAGGAGGCCTATGTTAACAACAGACTTGTGATGGGGGGGGGGGGCTAAAATGATGATGATGATGGTGATGGTGATGGTTTGGCCTTGTAAGTGTAAGTGGGCATACATATTGCTTTAGTATGCGTAAACTCGAGAGTTAAAAATTACTATCGAGTACCGTATGTAATAAAATAAAATTAAATATATTTATTTGCTCGAAGTAAGAAAATAAATTTCGTTAGTCAAATGTATTATTTTTCCAAATCTATTCTCGTTAAGAAATTTTTACGATAAATAATTTTATTTCGCCACATAGCTGAACGTTTTTTTTTTAATTCGTTATTAGAAAGACGCTGCTGCCCATCTCCTGGTTTGTTCGCTCTGTCGCCTATTACGACACGTACAGGATGTTAAGGGGTTGTGGATATATTTACACCGTCACTACACGGTAAAAACGTATTTAGTAAACATGTGTCATTCATTCATTTCTAGTGACCCGATCATTCAAGTATTGATATTGATCTCACGAACCGGGTTATTCGAGTCGATCACTCAGATGGATTACTTTGAGTTTCACTCTTTAGTTGTGGGTCCTCTTAATCGTTCGATCCGGAACGTTCAAAAATGTAATTGCAATCTTCAATACTTTGATGCGACAAAGGTCAAATGAACGAATAATTCACGATTTACACATTTCTAGTACTTAGGTAACATATCATTTTGTTACACACACAAGCACGCGTCTCTATAATATACATCACAATTATAAGTAAAACTAGAAAACACTATTGTTTACGCCACTTTCTACATACATGGTGAGCACATAAGGGCTGCTATCCCACACTACGTTGATGCAGTCGTCCAGCCAATCAAATTACCAGAATATGACGTGATACACGTGGTGGAGCTCGTGACGTTGATGCAACGTCAAGTTCAATATAAATAAAGATACACCGTTATTGCAGTTTTTGAAAATACGAGTAACTAAGGCTTCAACTTTTATTTGAAATTATCACGGCGGTACTCTCAAAGGACACATAAAAATTCCAGTCAATCGAAGTGAGTCATTTAAAACTTTTCAAAAAACAATTTCTCCTGTAATCTTTTTTTTTTTTTTTTTCTTCACTAAACTTAAATTAATTAGATAACTGATTGAACTGAAAAAAAAAATCTTTGAATGGCGATCCCAAATGTTAATTACGTCCAATGAGAGCTAATATTCTCCCGCTCACCAGATGTCGCTCGTTGGGACTGAGGTGACGTTTTTTTGTAACAATGTTATTTAATTGAAAAGTTAGTTTTAATTGAAAGTTTATCAGTTTCTAGAGTATTATATTAATACGCAAAACAATGCCCCAGTGTTTGCTTTTCATCTTTTTGCACATAATTAACTTTTATTTCATTTTTCTACCTTTAGGAAAATTTGTTATCTAATTAATATAGAATTTATCTAATATTACATAAAGAAACATTAACCCTTACGTTTTCCTACCAAATTATCATCCCCGCTTAGAAATTTGTCACATATTTCACCTCATGACAAAGTTGCGCCTCCCTGATATGGCGTGATTGTGGAGCAGGAAGAATTTTAAATTATTGCAATTCATACAAATGTGAACTTTAGTAACTTGAGAATAAACTCTGTTTTCGAATCACAAATACTGTTCAAAAGGTCCTAACTATCTTAGTTGCAATAGAAATAAAACTTTTTATGATGGGGAATCAAGTTTAAAAATGCAAAGCAATAAAAAAATCCTGCTCTACGACCGTGCTTAGCAAATAAAGTCGTGGATACCCTCGGA